TGTGTGTATGAGGGACTGTGTGTGTGTGTGTGTGTGTGCCTGTGCCAGTCTGTGCATTGAATCTGAGGGCAAATGCTGAAGGCAGCTCCACAGGAGACATAGAGGCAGGACTGGAGCCCAGCCAGGCCCTGAGGAAGATGGGCAGAGTGCCCGCTCTGGGGCTTAGGAAGGTTTCAAGGGAAGCTATAAGGAAGCCACGTTGGCTGGGAGTTGAACGTGTGAGGGGCCGAGGGGCGGCGGAGTGTGGCAGCCACGAGGGGCTCAGGTTCTAGGGCAGCAGCACCTGCCTGTGTGGCATCTGGGTCTGTGGTGTCTGCCGGGTGTCACTTGTGCCATCTTGGCCTTGTCCTTCTCAGTGGACCTCTCACTTTGCAGAGGGCACAGTAGGCTGGTGAAAGCTCACTTTGTCTGGGGCTGCTGGTTTGTTTGGGGGTGCAGACAGTTAAACCCAGAAGTCCCATTCCACAGCCGTAGGCCCTGCCACAGAAGTGGGGTTAGCACCCAGGGAGAACTCCGGTTAGAACTGCAGGTTTCAGGCCCCCCCAATACCCAGAAGGCCAGTCATAAATGTAGGGTGGGGGTGGCACCAAGCACCCCAGGATGTGATGCCCTCTCCTGCATTTTGGGGTGACGGGAGGCCCCCGTGGCATGCACCGCAGGGAGCAAGGTGTGCTGAGCCCCAGGCTCTGTGCCAGGTGGCTGCTGGAGGCTCTGCCTGGCTGGGTCTTGGGGAAAGGGGTCACTGGGAGCCCTGACTTTCAGGCTCTGGGTGGACCAACCAGCACTGACACTCACCCCAACCAAGGAATGTGAGGGGCCTGCTGTAGACAGCTGCAGGACATGCCCTCCTGGGAGGCGGTACCTGCGGCCCTTCTCTCTATTCCACCCCACGTGTCGCCTGGTCACTATCTTCCAGGCCTGGGCTTGGGTACTTGAGTTTCTGGGCCCCTCATGCCTGCCCCACCCCTCGGAGTTGACCTGTGGTGGGAAGTGCCTAATGAGGGCCACCTCTTGCTGCCACCCACCTACCTCAGAGCAATCTTCTCTTGACTTCCATAGCAAGTGCACTCTGGGTGAGTGGGGCGGTCTGTGAGCCTGGGAGCATCCCCTTCCTGTGGGCCATGGGGTCTGTGAGCCTGGGAGCATCCCCTTCCTGTGGGCCATGGAGTCTGTGAGCCTGGGAGCATCCCACTCCTGTGGGCCATGGGGTCTGTGAGCCTGGGAGCATCCCACTCCTGTGGGCCATGGGGTCTGTGAGCCTGGGAGCATCCCACTCCTGTGGGCCATGGGGTCTGTGAGCCTGGGAGCACCCCACTCCTGTGGGCCATGGGGTCTGTGAGCCTGGGAGCATCCCACTCCTGTGGGCCATGGGGTCTGTGAGCCTGGGAGCACCCCACTCCTGTGGGCCATGGGGTCTGTGAGCCTGGGAGCATCCCCTTCCTGTGGGCCATGGGGTCTGTGAGCCTGGGAGCATCCCCTTCCTGTGGGCCATGGGGTCTGTGAGCCTGGGAGCATCCCCTTCCTGTGGGCCATGGGGTCTGTGAGCCTGGGAGCATCCCCTTCCTGTGGGCCATGGGGTCTGTGAGCCTGGGAGCATCCCCTTCCTGTGGGCCATGGGGTCTGTGAGCCTGGGAGCATCCCCTTCCTGTGGGCCATGGGGTCTGTGAGCCTGGGAGCATCCCCTTCCTGTGGGCCATGGGGTCTGTGAGCCTGGGAGCATCCCCTTCCTGTGGGCCATGGGGTCTGTGAGCCTGGGAGCATCCCCTTCCTGTGGGCCATGGGGTCTGTGAGCCTGGGAGCATCCCCTTCCTGTGGGCCATGGGGTCTGTGAGCCTGGGAGCATCCCCTTCCTGTGGGCCATGGGGTCTGTGAGCCTGGGAGCATCCCACTCCTGTGGGCCATGGGGTCTGGCCAGGGTTCCATCTGTGTGTTAATGAAATCGAAGGCTCGTGGCACAGGTGTTGGTCACTTGGTTGTGCTGGCCTCATCCCTCAGGACAGATGAGGAGTACGGGCTCCCAGCCCACTCTCCAGCTCCCCCGCCTGTGAAGCAGTGTGCGCCCGCTGTGGGCAGGGTGAGGCAGGCCCCCTGTGTGGTGACTGCAGGTCTGTCTTCTCCATGGAACCCAGCAGTGCTGCTGCCTTCCTGTGCCCCTTCCCCTACCTACCAAATTCGTGTCCAGCAGGGGTTGCCCCACTTCCCAGTAGGGATCGGTTACATGCTGGGTGCCAAGGAGGCCGACTGGCACAGTGACAACTGGCGAGAATGAGGAGGGTGGCATTTGACAGGCTCTTAAAGGAGCAGAAGTTTGCCAGGCCTGGCATATGATGGGCAAGTTGGCAGAGCAGCAGCTGGTATGCACAAGCAGGGTGCAGACCCCTGTGGTGGACAGGATGGGGCCTGTGGAGCAGGGAGGAGGGAGGTGAGGCTGGCGGGTGTGTGGGAGGCAGGAAGGAGGTGCTTCTGGCTGGCCTAGCCCCTCCGAAGTGCATGATGCCTGCCAGGTGGGGCCCAAGCTCAGTGCCTACCTGTTGGACTGGAAACAGTGTGAGGGGCTTTGTTCTGGGGGTGTGCACACACTCTCTGCCTCTCTGCTTCTTCCAAGAGGTATGGCAGTCCTGTGGGTGGCCTGAGGTCCAGCGTCCACTCCCCAGTCCCTTCAGCACCATCTCTGTCCTGCCTGCATCCGGGGCCTGCTCCAACAGTCCTCCCTCCATGTCCGGGACTCGGTCTTTCTGTGCACTGGGGCTCCTGGCTAGCAGCCCAGGGGGAGCTGGGAGCAGGTCACAGGGCTTCGGCACATCCCTGGGTGAGGGTGTAGCCAGGCCACTGAGGCCATTCCTGGGGAGATCCCTGGGCCTGGATGGCACAGAGCCTGTGAGGCTGGGCAGGGGGTGCCACAGGGTTCTGTTTTCTCCCCTGGGCAAAGCTGAGAATGACTAAGGGTGAGGAGGGTGCCACGGGGGTGGCGTTTGCTCTGAGGCCTCAACAGCTGCTGCTGCTTGGACTGAGCATTGAGCTGCCTCACGGTGACTGCTTCCTGCCCAGGCCTGGGCCTTCGCCGAGAGCCTGCCCTTCTGGGAAGGAGGACACTTGAGGTCAGGGAGATGCAGCTACTGCCAGGCCTTCGGTAGCCTCCTGTGGAAGTCCCTCTTGGCGCCCATGTGTCCCTTCCTGGAGCAGAGGCTGTGTTCTGCACGTCCGTTTGGACCTGCTACCTTTGGGCCATTGCCCATCTTCCTGCCCCATGGGAATGAGTGACCAGGTCCAAAGAAGGTGGGCTAGCAGGAGGCTTGTCCCACAGTGCACCGAGTTTGTCCAGCCCTGGGTGCTAGGGACAGGGTGAAACTGGGTGAGCAGCTTGGGGAGGCCCAGCCTGGAGGGCCTGGTGCACACTTGCCTCTGTGTTCTAGGTGAAGAGGTATAGACGGGGAGGTAGGGAGGCTGAGGTGCCAGTGCTGGAGGGGCAGCTGCTCGACACCTCCTGACCACAGTCAGAGCCTGGGAGAAGAGCCTCAGAGGGAAGCGAGGTCTCCAGGCTCTGCCTCTGCCCAGCCCTCTGAGGACGGAGGGGACTGTTGCTCTGACTTGGAAGGCTGGAGAGAGCGCAGGACTGTCAGTAGGGTAACCTCCCTGAGCGGGACCTGGGGCAGACCCTGACAGTGAGCATGCTGACAGCTGCTCCTGCTGGCAGCCCTGCGTGACCTCCTGGTAACTGCCACCTGGAGCTTGCCAGGTGCCACAACTCCTAAGACACAGAGCAGGGAGATGGCTCTGCAGCCCGCCTGGCAGCCTAGGTCCCCACTGCAACTACCCCTCCAAATGGGAAGGCTGAGCCCAACCTGTAGCTGCCCAGATGGGGTGTGGTGTGCCGTGAGAGCACAAGGCAGGGAGGCTCAGGCCTGCCCTCGGGTGGTCAGGGTCAGGCCCAGCATTATGGGGAGAGCCTACCCTGTGGTGGACATGCTGGCCATGGCCTGGCAGAGGCTGGTGTGGAGCCTGGGTGCCTCGCTGTATCCGGGAGAGGGGCTGCAGGCTGCAAGGAAGCTCAAGTCCATGTCTGTCCCACCCCTGTACTGTGGGGACCCTAAGCGCCCACGTGGCATGTGGCCCATCCACACCTGTGCTTCCTCTTCCTCGGACCCCATGCCCTGTGCTCTGGAGAGAGAGCAGAATGGGAGCCCTGGGGCCCATGGGCCCTGCCCCTGCTCCCTGCCTGGCTCTGGCCACTCATAGCACTGCCCCCAGAGGCCTGCACTTGTTGCCTTTTAAGGTGAAGATTTCTGTGAGAAGCTGAAAGGGAAACATTTCCCTGGCATTCAGGGAGCATTTTTCCTTTCTCTTTCTCTTAAATAAACCATTACCAACTTTTCAAAACAGAAGAAAGGAAGAAAATAAGGACAAGGTCAGTTGCCACGTAGACCTTTTGTCCCCATCACCCTGTGGCCTCCCCAGGCCTGGTGGACAGCAGGGATGCTGGAGCTGCAGGCCAGGCTGCCTCCTGATGCCAGGGCCCAGTGCTCACAGCCAGTCAGGAGGGCAGGTGCCTGCTCTGTCCTGCACAAGGCCTGCAATGTTTTCACTGGGGCTGCTGGGGATGGGGTAGGCCGGCCAACTCAGAAGAAACCAGGAGTCAGAGGGTTTGCTTCTGCTGTCCTTCCAAGAGCACTGGAAAGCTGGAGGCCAGGCTCTGGGGGCCCTAATCCCTGGGCCCCTCCCTGGTTGGAGGAGGTGGTAAGGATGCCCTCCATGCAGGGCCCTATGATGACAAGTGATAGCGCCAGCCCTTCCTCCCCGGGAGGTGCTGTGCCGGACAGCTCCACTGGCCCTCTGTGAGCAGCCTCTCTGCTGGTGTCCCCACGAGCCTGGCAGGGAGGCAGGGCTGCCTGGATGGGCTCAGGCGGCTCTCTCTACTCCTGCACTTGCCACAAGTGATCCCATGGGCAAGCCCTGGGTCTGGTGGGCACACAGTGACCACACTGTGTCTCCTCTCTTGACAGGAAGTCTAAAGCCAAGCCCAATGGCAAGAAGCCTGCTGCGGAAGAGAGGAAGGCCTACCTGGAACCCGAGCACACCAAGGCCAGGATCACCGACTTCCAATTCAAGGAGCTGGTGGTGCTGCCCCGCGAGATTGACCTCAACGAGTGGCTGGCCAGCAACAGTGCGCGAGGGCCTGGGGGTGGGGCCCCTTCCCTCCTCCCTGCTCCGCTCGCAACAGTGCATGTGGGCCTGGGGGCTGCCCCTCTTCCCCGCTACTCCTGGAAGGCTGTCCTTGAGGAGGACCCCCACAGCTGGTGCTCGGCAGCCCCCTGCTGCGAGGGGAGAGTGTGGCCCGTGGACTGGTGGAGCTCACCCAGCCGAGCTTCCGCACCTGTTGCCGGAAGCAGGGGTGGACGGGGTGGCTCGGCCCTGGCGTTTTTCATATCTGGCTCCTTCTCTTCCAGCCACAACATTTTTCCACCACATCAACCTGCAGTATAGCACCATCTCAGAGTTCTGCACAGGAGAGACGTGTCAGACAATGGCCGTGTGCAACACGTGAGTGCGGCCTGGCTATAGCCCAGCTCCTCTCGGGAGCCCCTGTCACCCCAAGCTCTTGTCCTCTCAGACTCCGTTCTCACCTAGAGATCCTGAGAAGTGTTAGCACAGGCCTTCCACCACAGCGTCCACCTCCTGTCCCTCAGGGACCAATGGCCCAGCCAGTTGGGTCCCCAGTGGATCCTGGGAGGTGCAGGAGCTGGTGGGGATTGATGGGGTGTGTTTCTAGGAGCAGAGATGTTTCCAAACGGAAATGCCCTAAGATTGCAGAGAGCCCCTCTCAGCCGGCTCCCGTGAGAGCTCTCTGAGACGGACAGTGGGGGCTGGGCTGGGCAGGCCACAGCTCTTTGCTCCGCCACTCATTTCTCGGGGGCTCAGGTGCCATCTCCACGACTGTGCAACAGGCCTGGTGCTGGGTAGCTCTCTCCTGGAAGCACTACGCCCTGATTTCGTCAGTAAGTGAGTGTTGCTTAGTGGCCTTGGGCACCCCACTTGCGTAGCACAGGAAGGAGCGCCGCCAGGCCTGGGTTGCTGGAGGCTGCAGGCAGGAGGCATCTGGGTCTGGTGGGCTCAGCCTGGGACGTGTGTAGCTGGGGAGGGCAGAAGCTTCCCTTGATGTCCCGCTGTTGTCAGTGCACGCAGGTCAGGGACAGAAGGTGGGCTTGTGAGTGCATCCTGAAAGTCATCCTGCCCACAGACATGGCTTTCCTTGCCCTGGCACCGGGAGACGTGTTCCCCAGACAAAGCTGAGTTCTGCCCTCAATAAGCCACGGGGAGCTTCTGCACAGCCAGGTGGCAGGCATCCCCTTGGCTTCAGTCCTACTGGCCCTGCCCTCATGGCCCCGACAGGTCACACCTGGGTTTGGTTCTGGTTGACACAGGGGCACGTACAGACAACAACTGGCTTCACTCTTAATTCCCCAGGAAGATGAGGTGTCACGGCCAGGCCCAGCCCGGGAAGATGATGGGGACAATGCTTATCACCCTGAGGGGTGCAAGTTCAATGTGAGATGGAGGTGGCCTCTGTGGATCAGGCTCAGAGGTGATCCCGAGGTGACAGAGCAGTGCCCGAGAGCTGCACAAGAGCCTTGTGTCCACTGTGGCTCCGGAGCCACCTGTGGCAAAGCGCTGGCCGAGCTGCCCTGCTCCTGGGCAGGCAGGGCCTGGCACCCTTCCAGTGGCTCTGCTCCTGGTGCTCTGTGGCACTGGGTTTGTTTGGAAAAGGGGTTCCTTGGAGAAGCAAAGGATGTGGAGTTGGGCAGACCTACGTCCCCTCGGAGGGCCTAGGCCACCCAGGGTCCTTTGCGTCTGGAACCAGCATCATGGTGGTATAGATGTCTGTGAATTAGCTGCATATGATGCCTTCCCAGGAACCCTGTCCAGCCAAGGGACAGAAATCCACTCAAACTGAGAAACGGAAGCTTCCCAGAGGCCTCAGGGTCACTTGCCACTGGGGCCTGTAGGACAGTCCCAAAAAGGTTGATGTCGGACTCAGAAGAAAGGGGGTGGGACCAGAAACACACTGCAGCAATAATGGCTGAGAGCTTCCCACAGACACAAACCTGCAGACTTAAGAAGCTGAGCAGACCCCATGTAAGGCTGACAGCCGTGTGCAGACGTACACAAACCAAACGCTGAGAAGTGGGGGCAAAGAAAAAGCCCTTGGCAGCTGTTCATCAGCAGCCAGATGGTGTGGCGTGGTCCTGACAAGGGGTGCCACAGTGAATGACTGTGGCGCTCGCTCGTCAGAAACCCAGGAGGCCAGAAAGAAGACAGAAGCCCCATGCATCTTACAGTGCTGGGAGGAAAGAACGGTCACCCCAGAATTACACATCGGGCCAGTGTCCAAAGTCACTCCAAACCAAGGCCCTCACAGCCAGCAGACCTGCTCTGGAGACGCAACTGATGGTACAAGAGGACAAGGGCAGTGTCCGACAGTGCCCATGCAGCACTGTTCCCAGGACAGCTATGGCAGGGTGGGTCCTGTGGCGGTGGAGGGCCTGTGGCGGCGGTGGGGCTGTGGGTGGGAGAGCTGCCACGCTCCAGTGGAAGCGTGTGTGCAGGTGCCACATCGAGCACACAGGGTTAAGGTGCCTGCAACCACCCTTTGAGCAGCCTTGTAGAGCTTGTGTGTAGAGACACGGGGCCATCATAGGTATTTCAAATGAAATACAAAACATTCAAGTGGCCCAAAAGAAAGCCCGAAAGAAGAAATACCACAAGGAACGAGCAACAGAGGCAGCAAACAGCGGAAAACCTAAATGCCGACTGATCAGCAGACGGGACTGGTGTAAATGCACCAGTCAGGACAGCGTATGAGGATAGATTTTTAAACTAAGCCAGCTCTCTGGTGTCTGCCAGAAGCTCCTTTGTTCTATTTCATTTGGGATGCCGTCACGAAACGTGATAGACTTGGTGGCTTGTGAACAACAGAATTTTACTCCTTGCAGTTCTGGAGGCTGAAAGTCCAAGGTCAAGATCTGCTGTCTGTGGACCAGGAAGGGGGCACTGATCACATCACTGAGTCTGCTTAGCCCGATTCAGTGTCTGGTGAGGACCCCCTCCTGGTCCACAGACAGCGCCCTCCTGCTGGAAGGTGGGTGAGGGAACTCTGGGGCCTTAGAAGGGCACTCACTCTGTTCATGAGTGTTCTGCCTTGTGACCTCATCACCTCCCACAGTCCCCATCTTCAAACACCCTCACATCTGGGGTTCAGCTTTCAACACAGGAATTGGGTACCAGTGTCCCAATGTAGCATCACTGTAGATGCTGTGGTGTAGGCAGGTTAGAAGTAGGAGGACAGGAGAAGAGGGGCTGAGAAAACCCGCCTCAGAAGGGGGTGGGAGTGGCTGTTTCAGGCCGAGGGAGTCCTGGAGTGAAGAAATGAGCAGGAGTGAAAAGGTTCCAGCTTTAGGAAAGGGGCAGCTCTTGAGGAAGAGAGATCATGCCATGAACGTGTATGCACAAACAGCAAGGCTTGGGACACACCGCACTGAAGGCGCTGCAGGACAAATGGGCAGGATCACGGCAGTGCTGCAGATTCCAGCACTGGTGAAAGAGCCTCAGAGACAAGTCAGTGAGGGCAGGGAGGCTGTTGACACCAGCAGTCAGGATGGACACTGCAGCCTCAGCAGCACAAAGACGAGCCACCACAATGGGTCACACCTACCACAGAAGAGCCCTTAACACATTTTTAAAACCAGGACCATATGAAGTAAGTTTTCTGACCATGGTGGAGTTAAACTGGAAGTCAGCACAGAAAACGGAGTTTCCAAACACTTGCACATCAGCACACTTCTAAGGAATCCGTGGGCCAGAGAGGACGCCTCAGGAAAAATGTAAGACTTTCAAAACCTACACACGTGAAAATACAGCCTGTCAGAATTTGTGAGACATAATGAAAGCAGTGCCTAGAGGGGATTTACAGGATTAAATGCGGTTTTACAAAAAGAAGATGACTTTCAATCTAAGTTTCCAACTTTAAAAAGCTTGAGAAAAAGCAAAATAAACCCGAAGCAGAAGAAAGTAAATAAGGACAAAAGCACCCAAATTGATTAAGACAACAGGGGAAATCAGTGAAATCAAAATGTGATTACTTGAAAAGATAATATTGGTAAACATTTAGTAGATACAAAGATAAGAGAGAATGCAGTTATCAGTAAAGAGGAGCTACTGTCACTCTGAACCCCACGGATGTAGAGAGAAATGTCACTCTAAACCCCGGGGACGTAGAGTGGAGTGTGGACTGTGGCTGTAAACCCCAGGGACGTACAGAGGGGTGTGGCTGTAAACCCCGGGGACGTACAGAGGGGTGTGGCTGTAAACCCCGAGGATGTTAAAAGGATAATAAGGAAGTATTGCAAAAAGATAACCCTCTGTGCAGATCAGTTCTATAGCTTGGATTAAATGGACCAACTCTTTGGAAAGCATAAAATCCCAAAACATCTGCCAAAGAGACACAAAGGGCTTCCCTGACCTAAAGGTGGAAAGGCGAATGAACGTTCTTGAGTAGAAAGAAAACTGTGCTGAGGTTGCCAAGGTCTAAGGTAGGAGCAGATCTCTTCATGAAGTTGTGAGGAAGGGAAAAAAAGTCGCAGTCATGTAACTATGAAAGTGGCAGCCACGGTGCATGTGGAGCATTTGGATCTGTGGGTGGAGGATGCGACCATGGGAGCAGCAGCTGGTCCAGGAGGCCGGCAGGGGGCCCCCTGAGATTCGACACAGCCACTCACTGCAGCTGACTGTCCCCAATTTATAAATGACACTGGCTGTGGTGGCTCACACTTGTAATCTTGGCTACACAGGCCAGGAGTTCGAGACCAACCTAGCAACATAGCGAGACCCTATCAGTCAATCTGATCTTCCTGTTCTCATCTTAGTACTGTATGCATAGGAGAAAGTGCAGCGTGTTTAGGGTTCCGTGCTGATGGGGTTTCAGGCATCCCTGGGCTGTGGCAGTGCATCCCCTGTGGATGGGGGGTGTTGCTGTACCCCTGTGCACACATTGCGGGACTGGGAAAACCTCAAGGATTGCAGCCAATAATAATGATTACATTTAGCAAAGTCAAGACACAGATCAGTGATGGCTCTGTGTTAGCAATGTGAAATTGAAAACTATTTAAAATACCTCCAAAAGTAATGAGATCCTTAGTTATAACCCTAACAAGACATTCCAGGATCTGCATCCTGGAAACTCCAAAATGCCGATGCAGAAAATTGAAGGTCTCCATCACGGAGAGACGCACCACACTTACCTATCACCTGAGGTCTCCATCACGGAGAGACGCACCACACTTACCTATCACCTGAGGTCTCCATCACGGAGAGATGCACCACACTTACCTATCACCTGAGGTCTCCATCACGGAGAGACGCACCACACTTACCTATCACCTGAGGTCTCCATCACGGAGAGACGCACCACACTTACCTGTCACCTGAGGTCTCCATCACGGAGAGACGCACCACACTTACCTGTCACCTGAGGTCTCCATCACGGAGAGACGCACCACACTTACCTGTCACCTGAGGTCTCCATCACGGAGAGACGCACCACACTTACCTGTCACCTGAGGTCTCCATCACGGAGAGACGCACCACACTTACCTGTCACCTGAGGTCTCCATCACGGAGAGACGCACCACACTTACCTGTCACCTGAGGTCTCCATCACGGAGAGACGCACCACACTTACCTGTCACCTGAGGTCTCCATCACGGAGAGACGCACCACACTTACCTGTCACCTGAGGTCTCCATCACGGAGAGACGCACCACACTTACCTGTCACCTGAGGTCTCCATCACGGAGAGACGCACCACACCTATCAATCACCTGAGGTCTCCATCACGGAGAGACGCACCACACCTATCACCTGAGGTCTCCATCATGGAGAGAGACACTGCGCTTCCTACCTGGAAGATGACTGCAAACACAGATTCTCCCCCAGACTGATCTATTGATTTAGTGCAATCCCAAGCAAAATCCCAGCAGAGTCACAGACCAGTTCTAACATTTATATGGAAGGGCAAATTAATTGAAATAACTACAACGATTTTGAAAAAAAAGAGGAATCTCACACTTTTGAGACTTACTATGAAACTATAGAAATCAACAGTGTGCAGCATTGAGGAAACGGATACACAGCTCCATGGAACAGAGTCCAGAGATAGACCCGCAAACGTGTGGAGAGTCCAGAGATAGCCCCACACAAATGGGGCCCTCAGTTTTGACAAAGAGTGAAAGAAATTGAAGGGAGAAAGGATAGTCTGTTCAACAAATGCTGCTGGGAAAGCATCAAACACTGACTAACCCTCATGCCTCATGCAAACATCTGAAACTATTTAAAGCTTTTGGAAGAAATCGTAGGAAATCCTCACGACCTGGCATTAGGCAAAGAGTTCTTAGATTGACAGCAAAGGTGCAATCCACTGATGAAAAAGAACCAACGAATCGCACTTCATCGAAATTTAGAACTTTTGCTTCAAGAAAGACACTTTTAAGAGAAAAACTCCAGGCTGGGAGAGAAAGTATTTGCAAATCTCATATCCCCCAAAGGACTGGTATCCAGAATACACAAAGAACTCACACAACTCATCAGCAAGAAAACAAAACAGTGTCAGCAAAATACATGAGCAGACAGTTCACCGAAGAGGGTGTAAGGATGGCAGGTGAGGCGATTCTGGATTGTGTGTCTTTAGCAATTAGAGAAATGCATGCTGAAGCTGTGGGCGGACACTGTCCACCTGCTCACATGCCCATCAGGATGCCGGTGCTGTCCAGGATGTGGCCGCCTGGGACTCTGTTCTGGTGGTAGGGACACACCTGAACAGATGAACACGCTGTGTCCGTCTCTGCAGGGGCTGGTCTGGGCATTGGGAAGCCGTGGACTCCCGACACGCCTACTGCGTGGCTGTGTCCCAGTGGCCTCCCGCGAGTGAGAGGGGCCCAGCTCAGGATATGCACAGCACGACTCCTTCCTGTGGCCCGTTCCCGAGGAGCCACCCTGGCATGCTGGGGGCAGAGCAGCATGGCTGTGAGGGGCCACGTGAGCCACTGTGTGTCCTGATTGTGGTCGTAAATGCGTGCACACATGGATAAAATTTCATTCATAGAACCATATACCAGAACAGTTAAGTGATAAAAAGTAAAATGAAAAGGAAACAGTTGAGTTCCATCTTGCGGAACAGATGGGACAATCTGCAGTGTCCCTCAGTTGCTGCTTTAGATTACAGAAAAGCATTTGCTGTCTCTAACCTCCACGGTTTTGTGACCAATCTCACACCTGTGGTCAGACGTCAGCGTCCCTGGAGCCAGTGTCTGACTGGGTCCCTTCCCCAGAAACACGAGCCTCAACCTGGCCCTCGGGGTCCCAGGCCTCCCCATACCATCTGGGAACCGCAGGACAGCAGGAATACGTGCATTCTCCACATAGTTTTCGAGGAGCTGATGCCGAAAGGCCTGTTGTCTCTGCATTCTCAGAGGGTCTAACAGCTCAGTGGCGATGCCTAAGGTGAGGCCTGCAGCCTGGGCAGGTGGGTGCAGAGGCCACACAGAGCTGTCCTGTGGGGAGGATGGCACCTGAGAGGCAGATGTTCGTGCTGCGCGCCCGTCCTTGTGGCCTGTCCGTTTTGGGGCCGCACTTTCCCTTCTGGTGGCCTGACTCAGCCCAGCATGGAGCACGCATGAGAGCTCCTGCTTTAGTTCTGGAGGTGGATGCCGGGAGGGGCTTGTCCTAGGGCCCTGGTGGTGTGGGGAGGTGGCCTGGCCGCCATTTTTCTTGCAGAGGGCGGGGTCCCAGCTTGCAGTGTCTCCTCTAGCCTCTTGGTAAACTGGTGACTCCCCCTTGGACCTGCAGTGCACAAACTGAGGGGCTTTTTGGACACAGCAAAGGGATGCCCAGAGACACCAGAGGCGCCACGTCCAGCGAGAAGGATGGCTTCTCTCACCACACCCCCAGTGGCCCTGTCTCGGACCTCGGGGCATCTCCCCAAGTGCTGGGTGGGCTCTGGAATCCAGGGCACAGTGTTTGGTACCAGCTGAAAGACGAGCAGCCTCTGGAGTGGAGCCTGGGTCCATCTTTATGCTGCCCCATCCGGGGCCATTCCAGGCAGAACCGTGGCTGGATGAGGGGGTGGGAGCACTTGGTGTTAAGCCTGGCACCACGAGGCTCCTCGTTGGTCTGGCTGGGCAGTGGAGGCGATGCTGGTTGTGGCCACGCTGTGGCGGGAGTGTTTGTTCGGCAGCCAGTACTGCCCCATGCCCTGTGGCCCCTTGCCAACTGTGGTGAGCTGGGAGCTGGCTCTAGGAGGAAACCCAACCCGTAGTGTTGTCATGTCTCAGGTGTCAACAGCCCCACCACAGCATTCCCTACTGCCTGTGGGTGGGCCTGTGGGGCAGCTGCTGCGGGCATGGCCTTGGGGGACTGAGGCCCAGTGCCATGGGGGTGGTGGACTCCAGGTGGGTGCCCGGAGTCTTGGTGTTATGCTGGGGAAAGAGGGGTGTTAGGGGCTGGGGTCACCTTATATTGACGTGAACTAGAACATAGCCTTGTCATGGCTGGACCCAGCAGTAAGAGGCAAACCCAGGGTCTCCATGTCTTTGGGATGCTGCAGCCTGATTGGGGCTGCCAGTCTCACATGAGGACCGGCCGCCCTGCATAGCGGGGCAAGAGGGGCCTCGGAGTGGGCCCTGTCCCAGCCAGGCTGCTGACTGCAGGTGCCCACAGAGGCCACTGCACTCTCCTGGATCCCCTAGAGAGAGGCTTGGCTTCTAGCAGTGAGAAGGGCGCTCCCGGAGGGTGGAGCCTGGCTGACAAATCGCAGCACAGCCTCCTGGGAAGAGAAGGAGCCTATGCTTTTAAAATACAACAGAAAAACAGCACACATTTGTTTAAGTTAATACAACTGAAGCCACTTAGAAGCAGAGGAAATTAAGATGACCCCTTCATTTGATCACAGGTGTGTTCGGCCATGTGCCTGGCAGGGTCCCCAGTGTGATCCTGGCGTAGTTCTAAGTCTGCGCAGGCCGATCCCTCCGTGGAGTGCAGGGCAGTGCCCATAGGCGTCCGGGGAGGGTCCCTGCCTGGGGAGGGAGACACCTGGGCCTGCCACACCTCTGCTGCTGGCGCCACCTCTGCCCGCAGATGACCTGGACGGGTGGGACCCAGTGGCTGCACCCTGACGGTGTGTCTGTCCCCACAGACAGTACTACTGGTATGATGAGCGGGGGAAGAAGGTCAAGTGCACGGCCCCGCAGTACGTCGATTTCGTCATGAGCTCCGTGCAAAAGCTGGTGACGGACGAGGACGTGTTCCCCACAAAATACGGTTCGTCTTCCCTCCTCCAGCACTGGGCGGTCATCCTCACAGGGTGGGCAGGGGGTGTTCAGGATGCGGCTGCAAGCAACCAAGGCTCTGCTTCGAGGGGCAGAGGCATGGAGGGTGGCGCTGCACCGTCCCAGTCCCTGCTTAGCATGGGGCCACCTGGGCTGTGGGGTGAGGCTGGAGCCCTTGGGCAGGGGTCAGCCCAGCCAGGGCCGAAGGCCGTCTCCCTGGCCTTCTGGGCCATGTGGCTCAACATGGCTCCTATTAGTCTCTGCCTCTCACGCTTCTGTCACTGCCTAGCTTGTGGGGGCTTGGGCTAGGGAGCAGCTGCTGAGCCCGTGTCCAGATTTTGGTGGGGCTCCACGCCACTTCTGTGCTGCCAGAGGGACAGCATGGGACAACATACCTGTGCCACCATCGCCCCTCCGTCCAAGCCCGGGAGACGTCTGTCGGGGAGACATGGGGTCCCAAGTGCCCGGTCACAGGCCCCTCCCTGAGGAGGAGGGCCAGGATGGTCCAGCGAGCGCTCAGCCCTCGGGGTAGCTGTAGCTCCGGAGCCTGAGCTCGCAGGGAAGCCTCTGCAGCCCGGCCTCGGGACTGGCAAGGCCCTGTAGTGCTGCTGGTGGGCAGAAGCTGTTGCTGCTGGGGCTTTGCAGCCTGGAGCGTGGCAGGGTCAGGGTGGGGCAGCAGGCACCAGACCCACCAGGCCAGGTGCCAGGGGCCCGGCCTCTCTTGGAGCCAAGGGAAGTCTGCAGCTTTTGACGCTGCGGCCTCCCCCAGGCAGAGAATTCCCCAGCTCTTTTGAGTCCCTGGTGAGGAAGATCTGCAGACACCTTTTCCACGTGCTGGCGCACATCTACTGGGCCCACTTCAAGGAGACGCTGGCCCTGGAGCTGCACGGACACTTGAACACACTGTATGTCCACTTCATCCTCTTTGCCCGGGAGTTCAACCTGCTGGACCCCAAAGAGACCGCCATCATGGACGACCTCACCGAGGTGCTGTGCAGTGGGGCTGGTGGGGTCCACAGTGGGGGCAGCGGGGACGGGGCCGGCAGCGGGGGCCCAGGAGCACAGAACCACGTGAAGGAGAGATGAGCCCCACGGCCAGACAGGGGCGCACGTGTGCAAAGAGACGGTGGTGTGTGTCCTCTCCGTGCACCTGCGCGTGCACACATGCTGGGCACACGTGCGGCGAGTCTGAGAGGGCCCCGGCTGCACTGGTGTGGGCTGCAGACGCAGGTGGCCCGGCCATGTCCTGTGGCTCCTGTCGGATGGACGCGGGCCGTTTGTAGAGAAGAGCCTGGGCCCGTTTGCTCGTTCCGCAGACACGTGGGGCTGATGCTTTGAGTTTCTTCTGTGGGGTTTTCCTTTCTCTGGTCTCCGTGCAGCCCCTGCCCTCCCCGGGGTGCTGGTGGCCTCAAAGGAGGAACTCTTGGGGGGGGGCGCCCCCCAGGAGGGCGTGATTTGCAGACTGGGGTCTCTGCTCTGCTTTGGGGGTGGGGCTTGCTTTCAAGAGACCCCCTCCCTGCTTGCCCCTTCCTCTCCCGGCCTTGCCAGGGTCTTGGCTGTTAGCAGCTCAGAGGTGGGCGAGGCCTGGAGTGTGGGGTGCCCTGCACCTGCTCCTGTTGCCCCTTCCTGCTGCCTTCTCTGTGCCCAAGGAGTGCCCATGGTGCAGTCCTCAGGCAGGGCCAGGACGGGGCTGAGGTCCTGCGTGGAGATGCTACACCAGCAGAAGGCCGAGACCCGCTTACCTTAGTTCATCTGTTCACTCTTAATAAAAAGAATTCTCTCAGGTCAGAGCCTGTGTGCATCTCAGCGTCTCGGTGACCCCCACACACACTGGGCAGTCCCAGGAGCAGGCACCCGGGAGGCTGCCCTGAGAGTTGAGGTCAGAGCAGACTCACCCCTCACTCCCTGTGGGGGTCTATAGCCAGCCCACAGGTGAAGCACACACTCCGTGTCTCTTGCTCTCCCCAGCTGCCTCAGCCGCCTGCCTCTCCCTGTGCTGGTGGTGGGGATCCTCAAATGTGGCTGGAGTCAGCTGGGGGCATCTTCTCCGAAGGGTTCTGGGCCAGCCCAAAGCAATGGCTCTGCTACAGGGGCCATTGCTGTCCGGGACAATGTGGCCCAGGGGCTGGGCCCAGAGGCAAGCAGTTTCATGTCCTCAGCCTGGGAGTGGGTGGGTGCATGCTGCAGGGAGGGAGGCCCTAAGCTGAAGCCTGGAGCTTATCAGGACCTGGGTGGGCTGAAAAGCAGAGAGGGGGGCCTGGTTGGTACATACCTCTGGACTGCAGGCCCCTGCCAACGGCACCTGCTGGACAGTGACCTGGGGCAGCCCCACCCCCACCACTTAGCTAGTGGGGCCTGTCCAGGTCGTGGTGCTCCCCTGGCCTCAGGCTCCGCCTGCAGGATGCACCTGTGACCAACAGGTCAGTTCTTGGCTCTCCCAGGGACAGCGGCGGGTCAGAGACCCTTCCCCTGCCCTGTCTCTCCTCCCACCCCGAGAGCTGACAGCTTCTGGGCTCCTCAGAACGTGGCTGGAGTCAGCTGGGGGCATCTCCTCTGACATCCACAAATACCCCAATGTACAGTGCCTGGAGCCAATCCCGGTTCCCAGAGAGAGACCTGCTCGGTGTCACCCACCCATGCTCTTGTGTGGACCCCTAGAATGGAGGCCCCAGGATGCCCACAGAACTTGACTGAAGGGTCTGAGTGTAGGAGCCTGAGGCAGGGACCAGCAGCAAGGAGCCCCTGGGCAAGGGAGGGCAGGAGCAGGGCGGGGGAGGCCTGGTGAGACTGCCTCTTTGGCTAACGCCCCACTGGGGTGTGCAGGGAGCTCCTGGCTGAGGCCACAGGGAGCAGCAGGTGGGACACACAGCCTGGGTTCCTGTGTGCTGGTGAACCTGGGGCCTGGCTGCTCGGCAGAGGCTGGGGAGAAGATTGGACTGAGTGCTGTAGGGTGCAGGGGACTTGGGGCCGTCCCCACTTGGGCTGGAGGGTCCAGGAGGACTCCAGGATTCCAGCTGTAGCCTTGGAGGCAGCCTCAGATGGAGCATGTGTAGAGCCTGTGGGACGGCCTCAGGAGGTGTCCAGGGCTCATGTTCATGCCGGTCTCACACTCGGGATGCAGCTGCAGGGTCCCCAGGGCATGTGGGAGTCACGGGCACACGTTCCCATGTGGGAGGGCGGCTGGGATGAAGGCTGGCGTCGGGACACGCGCTGTTCTACTGGGATGAGGGCTGGTGTCGGGGGCACCCGCTGCTCTGCTGGGATGATGGCTGGCATCGGGGGCACCCGCTGCTCTGCTGGGATGATGGCTGGCATCGGGGGCACCCGCTGCTCTGCTGGGATGATGGCTGGCATCGGGGGCACCCGCTGCTCGGCTGGGATGAGGGCTGGCGTCGGGGGCACCCACTGCTCCCCTGGGATGAGGGCTGGCATCGGGGGCACCCGCTGCTCGGCTGGGATGAGGGCCGGCGTCGAGGCACCCGCAGTTCTGCTGGGATGAGGGCCGGCGTCGGGGACACCCGCTGCTCGGCTGGGATGAGGGCTGGCGTCGGGGCACCCGCTGCTCGGGTGGGGTGAGGGCTGGCGTCGGGGGCACCCGCTGCTCGGCTGGGGTGAGGGCTGGCGTCAGGGGCACCCGCTGCTCGGCTGGGATGAGGGCTGGCGTCGGGGCACCCGCTGCTCGGGTGGGGTGAGGACTGGCGTCGGGGGCATCCGCTGCTTGGCTGGGGTGAGGGCTGGCGTCGGGGGCACCCGCTGATCGGGCGGCTGGGATGAGGGCTGGCATCGGGGGCACCCGCTGATCGGGCGGCTGGGATGAGGGCTGGCATCGGGGGCACCTGCTGCTTGGCTGGGAGTCTGGTGGACTCATCCTGCTCCTGGGCTGAGGGGACTGTTCTGTGTGCTCTCCTCCACTGGGCTGGCTTCTTACAAAACCTGGAGTCCTGGCCAAGCCTTCCTGCCTCGGCCTCAGTTTCCCTCCCCGAACAGGAGGCCTATAAACTGAGGTGGGGGAGCTCAGTGGTATGGGCTCGGCCCCACCTGCAGCCTTGGCTCACTCAGTCTCGGTGGTCTCTGTTCTGAATGGCAGAACAATGGTCTCCAATATGGTCCCCAAAAAAGATCCGTGTTCTAATCCTGAGTGCCTGTCAGCGTGTTGCCATATATAGCACAGTGGGATAGAAGCTGCAGATGGAATCAGGTTCCCATCACTGGCCTTGGGATGGGGAGGGGTCAGGTTTCCCGATCACTTACCTCAGGATGGGGAGGGGTCAAGTTTCCTGCTCACTGACCTCGGGACGGGGGAGCTCAGGGTTCCTTATCAGTGACCTCGGGACGGGGGAGCTCATGGTTCCTGATCTATGACCTCGGGCTGGGGAGGGGTCAGGGTTCCTGATATCTGACCTTGGGATAGGGGAGCTCAGGGTTCCTGATCCGTGACCTTGGGACAGGGGAGCTCAGGGATCCTGATCAGTGACCTCGGGATAGGGGAGCTCAGGGTTCCTGATCCGTGACCTTGGGACGGGGGAGCTCAGGGTTCCTGGTCCATGACCTTGGGCTGGGGAGGGTTCTGGGTTCCCGACCACTGGCCTCGGGATGGGTGGTTATCTGGATGGGCCCAGTGTTGTCAGGAGGGCCGAGGGCACCGAGCAGGCAGGCAGCGTGGACGTGGGAAAGGCCTGAGTCAGCAGCGCAGGCCACTCCTAGAAGCCGGGAAGGAGGGAGCCCAAAGGAACAGGCCTTGCTGACGAGCCTGGTGGGCCCGTTTGATGTCAGTTCATTTTGTCTCCAGACACGAAGCCCACGGCAACTGCAGCAGCAGGAGCTGAGGGCAGAGTTTGGTTCTAGGCATGAGGTGCTGCTGTAGGAAACCTAGAAAGCTGGAAGTGGCTTTGGAATTGGGCAGAAGCTGGAAGAATTTCGAAGGTGATAGAGAACACCACGACACCCTTAAAACATGGTAGAAGGGTGGGGTGGGGGTGGCTTGAGGGGCTGGGCGGTGGAGGCTCTGAGAGTCAGATCTGCTGTGAACCGCCCATCCTGAGACACGGGGGTTAACGGTGCAGGTGGGAGCTCAGAAAGGAAGGAACGGGAGCCACGGAGAGCCCGGTCCGTGGGGGAGAGGTGCAGGTGGGCAGCCTGCGTGGAAGGCGCCAGAGGTGCAGCCTGGCCCCTCCCTTCACTGCTGAGGTCCGTCGGCCGCGAGAGGGAGCCTCTAGTGGAGGAAGATTTAACGGTGTGCACCCTGCCTTCGGGAGTTCTTAGCTAAAGACACTGACGGAATGTGTGCTTGGAGCTCCTGGAGCGAGCCTGTGGCTAGTGGATGCCCCGGGTCACCCAAACAGATGCCGAAAGCAGGGACAGCTGTGGGAGGACCTGCCATGGGCCCCAGCCCTTCACTTGTGGGGTGAAGCTCCATGAGAACCCTGAGGGGATTTACACCATCAGAAACTTAATTGGCTTGGATTGAGGCAGAGGGGGTGTGATGAGGCTCCTGGGCCCCCAAAAATGATCGGGGAGGAAGCAAACACTTCCCACGTTTCATAAAAAGAAAGTGTGGTCTTGAGGCGCAGCAGGGCCCGGGACCCACTGAAGGAGTTCCCAGGCCTGGCTGGGACCTGAGGGAGTGTGCCCAGCTGGATTTTGGATTTCTTGGGAGCAGCGACACGGGCACCCTGCCGTTTCCCGTGTGTGTGTCACGTCCATATGTACGTATGCATGAACAACTGGGTCTCACTGTCACCCAAACTGGAGCACTGGATGATCCTAGCTCACTGCAGCCTCAGACTTCCGGGCTCAAATGATCCTCCCCCTTCAGCCTCCCGAGTAGCCAGGGCCACAGCTGCGAGCCCACACATGGCTGATTTTGAAATATTCTGTAGAGGTGAAGATTCACTCCTCAGGTTGGTGTTGAACCCCTGGGCTCAGGTGATCCTCATGCCTCAGCCTCCCAAAGTGCTGGGCCCCCACACCCAGCCAGACTCCCTTTGAAACAGGGATGTTGGTGACTGGCATTCTGCGTCTGTCCTCCGGTTGTATTTTGGGAGCAGGTAACTGGTTTTCTAGCTTTAGGGGTCCACGGATAGAGGGAAATTGCCCCAGGGTGGAATGCCCAGTCTCACCCATACCTGATCACGGTGGCTTAAAGGGTGTGACTTGGGACTGTGAGCTGATGAGATGCATGTGAGGTTTGGGACTGGAGTGGGTGCTGTGTTCAGTGGAGACCATTGGGGCCACGGGGGGAGGGGTACGTTTGTACGTGGAATGCGTGTGAAGCAGCGGGGGCAGGAGGGTGGGCTGTGGTCAGCATAAGACGTCCCTCACCACCGGGTATCTGTATATCCTAGTTCGTGGAAATGAACCTGCCACCCAGCACAGCAAAGGGGAATGAAAGCAGCACGTGGGATTAAGGGTGCCAGTGACCTTGAGAGGCAGGGATGGTCTGGGCCTAGTGAGAGCCGGAGGCCTTCATTGCAGAAGCCGGAGGCTGGAGGCCGGCAGGGGCACATGGACACAGCTGTGAGGAGGCTCCACCCACATGCTCCTGGCTGCAAAGGTAGAGACCCCGGGCTGTGGGATGAAGGCAGCCACAGACTCTCCCCTGGGGCCTCCAGGAGGAGCACACCTTGATTTTAGACCAGGGAGACCCCTTGAGTGAGGCCTGCCCAGTCCTTGACTCTGGAGCTGTGAGGTGTTGGTGTCTGAAGCTTCTTAGTCTGTGGTACCTTAGCTATGGGGGTGATCGGAAACCATAGGAGGTAACGCATATACCAAGCGGGCCAAAGCATCCT